AATTTTTAATTAATAATTAATAAAATTTATCATATTTCTTCATTAATACTTTTAAAAAATAAATAACTAAATATCAAAATAACTTTCCACTACAGTTACAATACAACACAGTTCAATATAGTCACAGTCACAATCACATCTATAGTACTTTACAGTAATTTCAAACGCACCCTTAATCAATTAAATAATAATAAACAATATTTATTAAATTAAAAAATTTACAAAAAAATATTTTAGTCATGTTCCTCAATTTAATCAATTGAGTTATAACAGAAGTTTTTTTTATTAAATTAAGAAATTTACGAAAAAGTTATTTTTACATAGTTTTCGATAAAATCAAACTTGATAATTGATTAGTGAGGAATGGAACAAACTTGACGCATAAGAGAGAAGAGTTGGAGACAACATCCGTCACAGACTCATGTTGTAGCAACCGGTCTTATCCTTGAGAGAAATGTTTGCTGGCATTGGGGATGAATTTGAAGGTTTCGTTCGAGCTTTCCAGGTGCTTAAACGTAAGACATAAGATTATTGCGATGGAACAGCTAATTAATCTCTAATTTGATCCAATGTTTGTCTTTGCCGGCTTGCCTGATTAAAAGCAAAGAAAATGAAAAAGGAAATATTTTTTTTATTAGGTTAGAGTTGTTTGGCCCAAAAAAAAGATTTGTGGGTGGGTTTTTTCTTCCTGATTCAACATTACGGGCTCTAAAATGCGTTAGGCCCAATATGTTGAGGTTTAAGCCTAGCCTCTAGCCTTGTCTTTTTCTATAACGAGCCGGAGCCCGACATCCCGAATTTAAGCCTAGACTCTATCCCGGGCTCTTAAATGCGCAGACTCAATGTGAGTATTTTCATGTACTAATTGCATGTGAGTTTGAAATTTAATTTGAACATTGTTAAATATAATTTTTAGATTTGTTATTTATCTAAATATTTAGGTTAAAACCCCTTTTTGGTCCCTGAACTATTGTACGGACCCTCGATTTGGTCCCTGAACTAAAAAAATCCCTGATTTGGTCCCTACTGTTTATCATTTTTACCCTGATTTGGTCCTTCCGTTAAAAATCTAGTGACGTGTGCTGTTAACTAACGGGAACACGATGATATGTCATCTAATAATCCACGTGGAAAATAATATAGTCAAAAAGTGATGACGTGGAAAAAATAATAATATAAAAAAATATTATGGAACCCAGGCGCTGAGTTCCCAGGCGAACCCACGCCTGGGTTCCATGGAACCCAGGCGCTGGGTTCGAAGGAACCCAAGCGCTGGGTTCGAAGGAACCCATGCCTGGGTTCTTTGAACCCAGGGGTAAAAAATATATTTTTTTTTTCTGTGGTTTTGGTGTTTGATGATGATGATGATGATGTGTTTGATGATGATGAAGAAAGCAAGGCAAGGAAGAGGAAGGAAAAAAAAAGGGCATTGTTGGGTTCGATTCAACCCAGGTGCTGGTTTTGTTTGGTGCTGGGTTTATTTGGTGCTGGGTTTGTTTGCTGGAGGAAGAAGATGATGGCAAATTTGTAATTTTGATGGGTCCCACTTTTGTTGGGTTGGGCAAGGAGATGACATGTCACGTTGTCATGTCATTATTTATTCATTTATACAACTGATGTGTCTCAAAGGTTTGACATGTCAATGTCATTAAATTGTCTGAGATAATGGTGAGATTTTAACGGGTGAGATTTTAACGGAAGGACCAAATCGGGGTAAAAATGATAAACAGTAGGGACCAAATCAGAAATTTTTTTAGTTTAGGGACCAAATTAAGGGTCCGTACAATAGTTTAGGGACCAAAAAGGGGTTTTAACCAAATATTTACATACATATATTTGGTGCCTAATTTAATAGGTATAGAATAATTTATAAGTATATACTTATATACTTAGTTTAGAAAAAAAATATTT